GGGGATTTTATAGGGATTTTAAAGGGATTTTATAATATTAAACTTAATACAGGTTATTTAATATATATTTTAATTTGGCTTTTAGAGATATCTATTGTATTGTACTGTTTTTATTTACCTGTAAGCCGCCCTGAGTCCCTCGGGAGAAGGGCGGGGTATAAATGGGATTAAATAAAATAAATAAATAAATAAATAAATAAATAAATAACAAACTAATAAATAATAGCATGGAAAAACAATTCCTCATGTCCATCTTGTACTCTTTCTCTATGTATTTCATTAGCTACAGTGGGATATAGGACTTCGGTTTGATCCTTCTAATGCTTTTATGAAAAAGAGTCCAGTAACAGGACCTGTAAATTCTTGTCAGAAACATCAACACCTAAGATTTTGAGCCTAATATTCTCCAGTATTTCAGTTTCAGGGCTTGATACTGTAAGCAAAGTTATTTTCTGTTTTCTGTCCATGCCCTACCAAATAACTCTCCATAACAGATTAAGAAGAGAAGATTGGGGGAATTCCAGACATTGATCCATATCAAGACATAGAAGTATTTGTGAAATATATTAATGCATCTTCCCTAAAACCTCCGTCCCCAAAACTATGTTAATTTGAAAATAGTTCTTAGATTAATTCATGCTTAGAAGGTTGAAAGTAACAAGTAGCAAGACAAGTTACTAGACATTATACCATGAATTGATTGTCCTCCTGTTTTAGAATCCTTCCTCATTATTTGTTATAGTTTAATTTCTGTAAATTTCCAAGTTTAATTCAGCTTTCTCATTTAAGCCTAGAGGGTAAGAACCTGGAATCCCTAGGGGCTGAAAGAGAATACAATACCATTATACAAGGAACTATTTTATTTCCAAAATGTATTTAAAATGGCAGTCCTGGCTACATGAACCCTGCTTTCCTTCGTAATGAAAAGAAGCAGTAATGGAAGGAATGGAAGTATGTGCTAAGATTTTATTGGGTCACATAAAAAAATAGCTGTCATTGCTATTCTTGATGAACTTGTGAATATATCTCAAATTTTATTCTCAGATTTGTCATCTTACTGCCTTGTGCTGAATCTGAGCTTGTTGGCTTGATGACACGATTCGCATCTTCATGAAGACTGCCAAACCAGTCTTTTAGACGGGATGCAAGATTTCGCAGTTCCTTGTCTGTGCAAGCTGCAAAAAGAATGACAGCAATTATATGACAGATAACATCATAAACATAGCTTTATCAAAGATTATTTTTATTTACTGCCTGAAGAATAAACTTTGATTCCAAGACAACTGAATTTCAAAGAGAAATTGTAAAGCAGGTCAAAGGGTAAAAGTGTATCAAGAACACACAAAGCATCAAGACAAGATTTATTATTATGCTTGAATTTTGACTAAATGGGAGATATAATTTATGATGTACAATCTGGGCACAAATCCATCTTCTGTTGCTTCTCAGTGATGTGTGGGATTTTTCTATTTTGTTTTTTTGGTAATAGGTATCACCTTTTAGATCTTCTAAGAAAGGACATCAATCAAACAGCAGTAGGGAAAAATAGCACTGCTATTAGAAGAAGACCCTGGATATAATTTATCACCTTGTTTGGTTTAGCTTAAAGTTATTGATACGCCAGTAGGAAATCTTTTAATGTAAGGTTTCATGTTTTTCAGTTCGATGGCATTTTTAAATCCCTTCTCTATTCTTAAAGTTTATTTAAACATGTAGCAGGCACTAAAACATTTCAAATATAAAACATTATAAATAAAGAGATAGAAAAGTACACAAAAGCATACAAATGTTATTGTGTGTAAGTGTCTGTATGCATTTGTAATCTTTAATACTGAAATATTCAATAATTCTGTCCAGAATAAAATTTGTATAGATGGAATTCATTAGAAAGTGTGTTGTTGGTGTACAGTAATTAAAAAAGAAAAGCATGAATAAAGCAACCTTAAATTAAATCATTCTTCATGTGATGTTAATTTTTCATCCAGTGCTAAAAGCTAAATTTCAGTTTTCCAGCCAGCATTGTTATAGCAAAAATAGCAGCTTACAACATAAATTAATTTCTTATATTGCACCATTTTATATGTCTTGTTAAAAATAAACAATAAGCTTATATTAACATCAATTATTAAATATTGTTTGTTAATCCTTCCAGTTTCCTCAAGATCTATCAGTCAACATTAAGAATCATATGGTTACTACCAGCAGAGATAGAACATGTATTGATTTGACCATAATCCCTGCAATGCAATCAACACATTAATATAAAACAATTCTAAGGAGATATCCCACCATTTATAATTATTTTTATAGTCAGTTCTTGATGATATCCAAAATAAAAGGAATTGAAAAGGATTTTTATAGCATAACGAATTCCCTGTTGATTCCTTACAATTTGGTGCATCTGAACCTCTCCCATACTTTTGCTTATTATTTTTGCTTACCATTTCCTTGGTCTTAGTTTCTTTAATTAATCAGGAAAGTATGTATATGTATGGGCACTCAAGTAGCTAATTCTTAGCTATATACAGTATGAAGTAATAGTTAGGGCGAATGTAAGTGTCTGAAACAGGAATTAAGATTGTAGATTGAATAATTATATTAATTGTAGGTATTCTGCTGTCATGTTACATTTTTAGATTTTTCAGAATAGAATCACAATTACATTGTTTTATTTGGTGACAACCTTTATAATAATTATCCCTCTGCGATCTCTTAATGGTAATATCATTTTTTCATGTTATCTAGATAAATATATCTATTATTCGTTTCTGTTATGCAAGTTTATTGGGGAATATATATATATATATTGTGCAAGCAGCCCAAGTTCGAATCTCAGAAGGGTGTAGCTGGCTGATGAGAGCTAAGAAACTTGAAATAGCTATACCAGCTTCCCTTTAACTCTTTGTTAGCAATCCAAATTTAACACACACACACACTCTCACTCATATATATATATATATATATATATATATATATATATATATATATATATATATATATATATATATATATATATATATATATATATATATATATATATATATATATATATATATATATATATATATATATATATATTACACAATAAACTAAAAATAAAAGGTTGTCTCCTAGGTAAATTCATGACTGATAGCACTTAAAAA